AGAGAGAGAGAGAGAGAGAGAGAGAGAGAGAGAGAGAGAGAGATTTAAAAATTTTTCAATTTGATATTAAAAATCCTTTTTTTTTTTTTAATGTAAACCATGAAATTGATGTTTATATATATCTACATACATTTGAGCTATCATTTTTCCAAGTTCGAATTTAGTGTAATGATATTGTAATAAATATTGTAATGAAACCGAATTTGAATTTAAATTGTAGGAAAGTTCATATAGTATACTTGAAAAAAAAAAAAAAAGATAGATTAATAATTAAGATTGAAATATGTTGAAAAAAATATATAACTATTTCCTACAATTTACAGATTTAGATCGGGCATCGAGTTTCAAAAATATATTTATTACAAACCTCCAACATATTCGAATGTTCTTCGTATTTTAGAATGTTCGATAAAAAAATTTAATAATTTATCATAATCATTAAATGTGTTTAAAATTCATATAATTTTATTGTATTTGTATATATATTCGAATAATTCCTTTATATATCATAAAATATTAAGAATAAAAATCTTTTAATCGTGATCATTTATTAAGAGACCACATATACCGAAATGTCGTGTAATCCTAATTTAAATTTAATTCAAGTTTTTCAATATTTGAAAAACTAAGACGATAGTTGTACGCATAAAAAAAAATTTTTTAGAATATTGATCCTGATAACGTATTTCAATATCATTAAAATCGATCAGATATCGCTTATTTTATATAATTATCAATAAAAATTCAGATTTATTCGTATTTTTTTTCGTATAATCTTTTTGAATTAGATAATATACATATATACATATATATATAAGCAGTAAAAAATGAAAAGATTTATGATTTAAAATTCTATTAAGATATTATTTAATTTTATACGAAATGTATGAAAATTATGACAATTATTTTGATCAGATAGTTGTGAAAAATGTCGGTTGTGATTGTTAAAAAGTTATGAAGTTATGTGTAATGATAATGCATTGAATAGCGAGTTTGAAATAATCCATAACGATTTGAAATAAAAACAAAAAAATATCGTTAAAATATCGTTTTGTAAAGTTAGATTTACTTATTGACTATTCGTACATATATAATCAGAGATCTTGTATCGAAATTATTTTACGTTTCTTTTTATTAAAAATATTTAAATTCCATTGCTTTTTTTAAAAAAGATCATTTTACGTGCATAATCTTATCGATGTAAATTCATCATTAGAATCTGTAAATTTGATATTTTTTATTTAGATTTTCAATTTCTTTTACAATCACTTCTCTATCATTGAAATAGATATATATATATATATATATATAAAAGAGTTAAACCAAAATAAAATATCAAAATCGAAAAAAATAAAATATCAGAATTGATTAATAAAATAAACTAATAAAGATAATTATAGCACGAAAAATTAAAACTAACGCTTAAATTCTGATATAATTAAATAAATACAATATTATTTCGAAATAAGCAACACTACATTGCTTCTTTCATCCTCATTTGTTTGTTTGAAAAGGCTATAAATCTTTATATCCATTGAGAATAATGACAATTACGTGATATAGTATTTTTTTTTTTTTTAAAGAATAATATTGTTCGATCGATCGGATTTTATGATTTGCAATTATCTCGATCTTGTTCCTTGTTTCATTTGAGAACAAAGTTAAGTAATATACCTAATCTTTAAAAATAATCGAGTGAATAATATGCTTATCTCGGAATAATATTTTATAGGATAAATCCGGGAAAGATAGATCACTTTTAAAACAATTTGTGAAATATTTTATATTACAATATTTTTAATATATTTTATTTCCATTTATAAGTTTATTATAAGTTATTTATTATCTTTTATGATTGGATGTATATTTCTTTACAGTTCAAGTTTATCATTATAAAATTTAAAAATCAATATATTTTATAGAGTATTCAATTTTTCTTCATATCAATTTAAAACATTTCTTATGATTTCTAATTGTTCAATTGTCAATCGAATATGAAATATTTAATAAAACTAAGATATTAAATCGATCTATCTAAATCTTTGAAATGGAATAGTTGAAATGAGAATCAATCAAATGCATCGTTATTTCTAAATTATAATCATTCGAGATCTATAAAGAATATAAGAAAATATAACAATAACGAATTTTTTGAATTGAGAAAGAAGGGAAGAGAGAAAAGTTGTGTAAAATACGAAAGTCATTGGAATAATTGGAGGGCAAAAAAGGTAAAATAAAAATGTCATTATAATAAACGTAAAATTATATTTCAGTTAAGAAAAGTATATACGATACGATATCATTTTTCGATAAAGATCTATTTATGTCGATATTGTAATATGGCTTAATGTATAAGTTAATTCAATGTATAAGTTCTTCAGATTATCATACTTATTCAGATTTCAGACTTAAAAAAAATTCGTCTTCCATAATTATCCTATATTATAAGAATGAAAAATAAACACAACTAATTAAATAAATGCACAAGTTTTTTTCCCTAAAATATATATATTATATATATATATATATATATATATATATATATTCAAAATTAATTTTCGATAAAAAAAACAATTAATATCATGGAATAATTTTTTATTCATATTAATTTTCACGATCATATCCGTTACTTGACGAATTTGATTCGTTAGATAAAATATCATCTTTCTTCTGAAGCAATATATCGCATATACAAACCTGTAACTTTTGTTTTATACACATATTCCTGTACGAGGACCAGAAGAAAAAAAAAAATAAAAATGCTGGAAAAAAAGAAGAAAAAGAGGAAGAAGAAAAAAAGAATGTTCAAGAAGCTGGTATGAATATGATCGAAAAAAAACGAACAATATGTATTCAATGTTTGTTTCAATGGTTCTCATTTCCTCTTTTTCGTAATATATCTTATTTTTATAGTAGTTTTTTTTCGATTTTTTAATTTTTAAAATATTTTTCTCCCCCATAAATCATCAATTAAAATTGATGTGACTTAATATGATTATAAAATCATATTAATCATATTTGTCAAAAGATATAATAATTGTATTTTTATTTAATTACATATTTGAAATTTTAAAATTTTATAAATCATATGTAAATAATATATATAACAAAAAAGAGAAAAAAACATATAATTAAGTAATTATAATTTATGTAAATTGAAAATAACGAAAAATAAAATTTATCAAGCAAACATAAATAACGATTTTATTAAAAAGCAAAAATTGTATTGTTATATTTTATTTTATTAAAAAAATAATTTTTTAATCTCTTTTAAAAATTCATCAATGATTATTGTAATTAAAAAATTCTAATGTTTATTATTGTAATTAAAATTCTAATGATAAGTCACAAAAAATTATAAAACATTTATGACAAATTAAAACAAAATCCAATCACATCTTTCGTAAAATTTCATAAATTTAGAGGATTAAGAACCACTGATACCAAAGAAAGACTTACCTTAACCAGGCCTCTGGGCTGATTCGTCACGACATTTGCCTCTGGGTTCTGGTCCCGC